AAGTAGCATCCCATCCCAACTTCCTTTAATTATTGCTTGTCTAAAAATAACACTACAGATAGAAAATATGATATATTGCTGTTATCAATCATTTCTAGATTATAAACTGACTAAACTTACATCAGGGAAAAATTGGTATTTATGCAAAAAAAGAAAATGTTTTTGTCCTTGTGAGTCCATCTAACATCATAATTAATCATGTGGCTGTGAAATTCACAGTAATATGGTTCCCGATGAACAAGTTTACCCAGCCTGCTTTGCTTTACTGCATGAATGAAACTGACGGTTCAATTTCAGAAGTAATGATTAACAGTTATGTGGTCACATGATGTGCATAGAGATAGCTACAGTGTAATAATTTACACTATTTTGTGCTCAAAACAAAAATCTGTGTAACTGTAAAACATTGAATGAAACTATTTTACCTGAACTAGATTTTATCTGAAAGTAGGTAGAATTTTTGCTATGCTGTAATTTGTTGTATATTCTGGTATTTGAGGTGAGATGGCTGCTCTTTTATTAATGAGACATGAATTGTGTCTCAACAGAAACTAAATGAACATTTCAGAATAAATTATTGCTGTATGTAAACTATTACTGAAATTGGTATTTGTTTGAAGGGTCTTGTTTCACACTTGTATTAATAATTGTTTAAAAGGCCTCTTTTAAAAGCTTATATAAATTTTTTTCTTCAGATTCTATGCATTAAGAGTAAAATTCCTCTTACTGTAATAAAAATAATTGAAGAAGACTGTTGCCACTTAACCATTCCATGTGTTGGCACTTAGCCATTCCTGAAATTTCTTTTATGTGATTAGCTCATCTTGATTTTTAATATTTTTCCACTTAAACTTTTTTTTCTTACTCCACTGGAGCTCAGTAAAAATAAATTCATATAATAGCAATGTAAACAGCCTAGCATAGACTAAGCATTAAACATAATAGGCCCACATAATTTCCTTTTTCTTAATGTTATAGAATTCTGTAGTTGAAATTGATTATTCTTAGACATTGTAGTCTTTTCGAAGCTTTACAATGTTACTGTCTTGCCCCTTCATCTTGTTGCAACTGGGTCTGACATGAACACTTTTTATCACCCTGTATGTTAGAGCAAAATTTCAGCAGTGAAGTATAATCAGCTGTTTGCCATGTTCAGGAAATTCAAATCACATGGAACTTCAAAGGTAGGTTTAATACCATTAGGATATTCAGAAGTATGTTTTAAAATCCCTGCCTGTTAAGGAAACTTTGTTTTTGGTGGGTACAGTTCTGGGGTACATGTTAAGTGCCCCCTTGTACAATGGAGGGAAGTCCTCCTTCCTGAAGGAAAATTAACTGACACTTATTAACTAAGATAATTTACTTAATATATCTTCCTTGGTTTGTTCTAAAAGATCAAAGGGTGACTGTGATGATACATGCACACATATTTGTTGAATAAATGAAAATTTATTTTTAGTGATAGGATTCATACACTATTTGGGGAGGGAAAACCTTTTTAAGCATTGTGGGGCACTCAGAAGAGGAGATAAAAGAGGAGTAAACACACCTACCTGGTGCCTTGAAAATCACATTAAGTAGTTAATTATCTACCCCTTACCTGTGTTTATAACTTCCAGGTAATGAGAATGATTTTTTTAAAGCTAAAATGCCAGTAAATAAAGTGCTATGACTTGAGCTAAGGTATTTGACTCCAATGCCTGTACTGTGTCTACTGCACCACTTTGTAAACACTTCAATTTACTATCTTTGAAATGATTGACATTTACATTTTTGCCAAATGTTATCTGAAATTGTCTATGAATACAATCTATTTCTGTTGTTCTCCAAAGCTTCCATAAACAATGGAGATACATGCATATAGGTCATATTTGTTTCCTTTCATTTTCTGACTTTCTATTTCTAACTTTCTGAATTATTGCTTGCCAGTTTTTGCAAACCAAGTACTTCTATGGAAAGAGATGGGATGTTAGTCAATTAGATAAAATTGCCTTTTAATTCAAATAAGAAAATACAAATGTTGAAAATGAAGAGTTCATTCCACATGCCAGAAAAGTGGAATTTTTGTAGGCAACACTGACTGGGAGAAGGGCCAGTCTACACTACCCATTGAAGTAAAGATTGCTGGATGAGGCCCTCTATTGGAGATAGTGGTTCTGAATTAGTAAAGGGGCAAGTCTCAATTCTAATTATAGATGTTCACAGGGTGCTGCTATAATCGATAGCAGGCCAAATATTCCCAATTTATGCTTGTCTACAAATGGCATACTAAGTCCAGTGTTGGGAATTAGTCAAGAGTTATGATGCCTGTTTAGAGAGGAGTGGGGGAGGGAGAGTTACCTATCGTAAGGCACTTCAAAGGAGTGCGTTGGGATCACCAGGAGTGCTTACCAAGACATAGCTGGGCCATACCCCCAGTTTGATTCAGGAGGTTTGGAATGGGGCCCAAGAACGTGCATATCTAACAAGTTGGAAGGTGAGGCTAATGCTGCTGGTCTGGAGACCACACTTTGAGAATTACTGCCCTAAGTTATCACAGTGAGGCTCCTTGAGTGATTTGCCTTCAGCTCTAGCGATTCCTCCCAGTAACTGGACCTTTAATCTGACAAAGTATGCCAACAGATAAACTCTGCTTCCCCTAGGCACAAAATTCAGTATTGAGCCATCCAATCTGATAATGCTTATCTCAACTCCTGACAGCAGACAAACTTAATCAGACATGAATGAACAAGTAATTTTAAAGACAATGATTATATCTGAAGGCTCAGTTAATGTTCCCTTTGAGACTTATAAAAAGCAATAACTTCAGCAAAGATCTAATTTGAATTTTCAGTAAGATTAAAAGAGACTATGAAATGGGAACTTTAAAATGAGAAAAGGTTGATTTCAGATGAAAATGTATCCAGTTTTTTAATATACAGTGGAAGTGATCAATAAGCAATTAACAGATTGATATTTAAGGACAACTTTACAAATTACCAGGGTAATGAAAAGGACATAATCAAAGATAAGCCCCATAAGAATCAAATAGCACTGTAAGTACAGTAAAATGTTTCTTAATTAAAATATGGATCATGTTGCCACAAGGTTAATTACATGAAAGGATGAATTTTGCGGAGGATGGGAGCCAGGTGCACAATATCTGAATATATATATGTTATCACAGGGTTTCTTGGAATCTAAGGAAAAAAGCAGAGCACCAGAAATGCAAAAAGTAAATTGCCCATAGCTAAAGAAACATCTGAATAGTCAGATCATTAAAATTTATGAAATAATTATTTTTCAAAAGTCAACGTGGCTGAAAGTGTATTTTTTTCCTTTCTAATAAGCATATTTTCCTCATATTACGCAGACTTAAAATTTAAAAATTACTTTGTAATGTTGAAACCTATAGATTATGGCTCCTGTAAACCCCAGGTCATTTTTCTGCCATTCTTATAACTCTGTCTATGATCTATAAAAGTATATTCTGCTTTTTGTTAGGCCATTGATGCTTTTTTCAACTTGTACGTTCTATGTATATAATATTGTTTTTGGTGCTAAATACACTTTCTTTTCTCTGATATTCAGGATAATTCTTTCTCTACATTGTGACTATCCACTTATTTTCTTTAAGTAATACGGTTTTTTAATTAAAAATATTCAACATAATGTATGCAATTGAATATAAAGCAACATTAGTGAGAAATAACTGTTGAAAGAAATGCCAAACATTAACTGCCCTACCTACACCACCTTTTGGAATCCAAACCCTTAGCCTCATTGATTGGTCACTGAACTACGTAAACAGTCTTTCTCCCTGACCTTTGTACCAGAGTTATATCTGACCTGGAGGAGACTCATCATCAGCTGGTCAGTGACCAAAGACTTGTATAGCCCTGCTTGGAAAGAAAAAAACGATTAGACCAATCAATTTGAAATAAGAGTCACAAAGGAAATTTCTGGCTGGTTCTTTTTTTTTTTTTTTTTTTTTTTTTTTTGGATTTTTAAAAAAATTTTATTTTGTGGTAACATTTAAGATTACATCTACCCTCCTAACAATTTTATTTTTTTCTTTTTATTTATTTATTTATTTATTTATTATTATACTTTAAGTTCTAGGGTACATGTGCATAACGTGCAGGTTTGTTACATATGTATACTTGTGCCATGTTGGTGTGCTGCAACCATCAACTCGTCAGGCACCCCATCCAACTCGTCATTTACATCAGGTATAACTCCCAATGCAATCCCTCCCCCTCCCCCCTCCCCATGATAGGCCCCCGGTGGTGAGTTCCCCTTCCCGAGTCCAATGATCTCATTGTTCAGTTCCCACCTATGAGTGAGAACATGCGGCGTTTGTTTCTGTTCTTGTGATAGTTTGCTAAGAATGATGGTTTCCAGCTGCATCCATGTCCCTACAAAGACACCAAACTCATCCTTTTTTATGGCTGCATAGTATTCCATGGTGTATATTGCCACATTTCTAATCCAGTCTGTCACTGATGGACATTTGGGTTGATTCCAAGTCTCCAAGGTCTTTGCTATTGTTGAATAGTGCCGCAATAAACATACGTGTGCATGTGTCTTTATAGCAGCATGATTTATAATCCTTTGGGTATATACCCAGTAATGGGATGGCTGGTCATATGGTACATCTAGTTCTAGATCCTTGAGGAATCGCCATACTGTTTCCATAATGGTGAACTAGTTTACAATCCCACCAACAGTGTAAAAGTGTTTCTATTCTCCACATCCTCTCCAGCAGCTGTTGTTTCCTGACTTTTTAATGATCGCCCATTCTAACTGGTGGAGATGGTATCTCATTGTGGTTTTGATTGCATTTCTCTGATGGCCAGTGATATGAGCATTTTTTCATGTTCTGTTGGCTTATGAATGTCTTCTTTGAGAAATGTCTGTTCATATCCTTTGCCCACTTTTTGATAGGGTTGTTTTTTTCTGTAAATTTGTTTATTCTTGGTAGTTCTGGATATTAGCCCTTTGTCAGATGAGTAGATTGCAAAAATTTTCTCCCATTCTGTAGGTTGCCTGTTCACTCTGATGGTAGTTTCTTTTGCTGTGCAGAAGCTCTTTAGTTTAATTAGATCCCATTTGTCAATTTTGGCTTTTGCTGTCTGGCTGGTTCTTGAGTGCTGGAACGAAAGAGCATGCACAGTTAAGGCTCAAATTACCATGACTGGCATCGTGAAGCTTAAACTAAGAGGAAGCCACCTAGTGGAGAAAGAGGTAAAGGGAACAGATACTGGGAGGACAAAGTGAGAGACAAGAATCACAAGCTCAAGGCCAGCCTGGGCAACAAAGCAAAACCCTGTCTCTACAAAAACAAATAAACAAACAAATAAATAAATAAATAAAAATAGGGCCTGATGGTGCATACCTGTAGTCCCAGCTACACAGAGACTGAGGCGGAAGGATAGCTTGAGGCCATCAGTTGAAGACCACAGTGAGCTGTAAGCACTCCAGCCTGGGTGACAAAGCAAGACACCGTCTCTAAGAAAAACAAAAAAACGGGGTCTGGCTCACTCCTGCAGTCCCAGCACTTTAGGATTGCTTGAGCCGGGGAGTTTAAGACCAACCTAGGGGTACCATAGTGAGACCTCGTCTCTACAAAAAATTAAAAATTAGCTGGGCATGGTGCTCCACGCCTGTAGTCCCTGCTACTCAGGAGGCTGACACTGCACTCCAGCCTTGGTGACAAAATGAGACCCTGTCTCAAAAAAAGAGCCCCCAGCTCCTGGAGTCACTCAGTTCCTGACATTTTTGAGACCTTATTCTACTTTTCCCGGTTTGGGAAGCAATTGTGAATCTCTCACCCCTCTTTGTTCCTGAAGTAACAAAACTAACAGAAAACCATATTTAGACATACAGTAAGTTTTAAAATTTCCAAGATAAGACTTTATAAAAACATCAGAGGGGCCGGGCGCGGTGGCTCACACCTGTAATCCCAACAGTTTGGGAGGCCGAGGCAGGTGGATCACGAGATCAAGAGATCGAGACCATCCTGGCTAGCGTGGCGAAAGCCTGTCTCTACTAAAAATACAAAAATTAGACGGGTGTGGTGGCGCGCGCCTGTAGTCCCACCTACTCAGAAGGCTGAGGCAGAAGAATCACTTGCACCCGGGAGGCAGAGGTTGCAGTGAGCTAAGATCTCACCACTGCACGGCAGCCTGGGTGACAGAGTGAGGGAGAAAAAAAAAAATCAGTGGGAAGAGAAGAATAGGTTGCCATCAAAAAAAAAATTGGCATCAAGTATCTCTGCAGTACTAAATGTCAAAGAACAAAACACCACAAAACAATGAAACACAATACATGCAGCATTTGGAAGGGAACAGAAATATTACCTAAGAATTCTGAAACCAACCATACTAACATTTCGTTTAGCAACCTTTGGGATTCTTGTTAGTTAAAAACAAGACCTCTAAATGACAAGATGTTTATTTAAAGAATATGAGGTAGCTCACAGGATCTGTATGACATGGACTAGAAAAGCAGTCTTAGAAACTACACAGTGGAAACAATATCCAAACCATACTTTGAGGCTACAGTAAAGACCTCGATGCTACCCCTAACTGCTAGAATCCTCTGACACCATGGCCACAAAATAAGATTACATGTGGCACTCACTTCACGCTGCTTGCTTCTGAATTGAAGTCTTGCTTGGGTGGGTGTGGTTGGCAGAGGATGTGTTACATGCCTGTAGCACCTGGGAAAGTTCACTTTTTTGTTTCTCCATTGAGGAGACTGGATTCACAAAAATGAATTTCTCAAATCTATGAGAGACACTGCAAAAGTGCTTGGGAGCCAGAAACCACGACATATTTCTACTACAGTATTCCAGCTGCCCCAGTAATTAAGATAAATGGAAAGGTATTAAGGAAACAGTTTGAGCAACGGAATATTTAAACTTGAATAAATGTATAAATAATTGTCATTAACCTGATAATCTCAACGTGAATGTTTAAATAACTCAAAAGAGAAACAATGAAATGCTTAGTAATTTAAATCATCTTAAATTCAAGATTATCAACCCAAACTGGAAAATAAGGGTTAGAAGGAAAGGAAGAGGTTAAAACACACTGTTTTGAATTTCATGTAGGCAATGTCAATAGATACTGGAAAAAATACAAATTCAATTTTTAAATTTAGTGGTAATGTCAATGTTAAAAAAGCAAACTACTTTTCCCGGTTTGGGGAACACTTGTGAACTTCTAACCCCTTTTTGTTCCTAAAGTAACTTGAAGCTAACAGAAAATCATATTTAAGTAAAATTTTCCCTCCAAATCACTAGCTGAAAGATAACAGCTAAATTAGCCACAGTGAAGCATAAAATGATGGAATAAGAGTAAATAAATGTATTAAACACATAAAATAGCCACTATCAGATTGGATAAAATAAAATCTCCCAACTATATGCCGCTAACAAAACAGTCTAAATGATTCAGAATGGATACAATAAAAAGTACAACCACCTTGCACAGGCAAATGCAAAGAAAACAGTAAAGGCAAATTTATGTCAGTATAGTTCTGGATAAAAGGCCTCAAACATGAAACATGATGACAACATTTGGTACTATAAATTATTTTTCCTTTTGTACAGACTAATTCATCTGTAAAACACTGGCAGCCTCACTGTCACCATGGTTTTTGTTAATTTATCTTTGCATTTGTAATTTTTTGTTGTTGTTTTGGGACAGTCTCACTCTGTTGCCCAGGCTGAAGTGCAGTGGTAGGATCTCAGCTCACTGCAGCCTCCATCTCCCAGGTTCAAGTGATTCTCCTGCCTCAGCCTAGCCTGTAGCTAGGATTACAGGCATCCACCACCATGCCCAGCTAATTTTTTGTATTTTTAGTAGAGATGGGGTTTCGCCATGTTGGTCAGGCTCATCTTGAACCCCTGACCTTAGGTGATCCACCCACCTCGGCCTCCCAAAGTGCTGGGATTACAGGCGTGAGTCACTGTGCCTGGCCTGTAATTTTGTTTCATACATTTGGTACCGAAGAGCAGTTATTTAAAACTACAACTTCTGAACTGGGCATGGTGGCTCTTGCCTGTAATCCTAGCATTTAGGGAAGCCAAGGCAAGAGGATCATTTGAGCCCAGGAGTTCGAGACCAGCCTGGGCAACATAGTGAGACCCCTGTCTCTATTTTTAAAATAACAGCCAGGCACGATGGCTCACAGCTGTAATCCCAGCACTTTGGGAGGCCGAGAGGGGCAGATCACCCGAGTTCGGGAGTTTGAGGCCAGCCTGACCAACATGGAGAAACCCCGTCTCTTCTAAAAATACAAAATTAGCTGGGTGTGATGGCCCATGCCTGTAATCGCAGCTAGTCGGGAGGCTGAGGCAGGAGAATCACTTGAATCCAGGAGGTGGTGGTTGCGGTGAGCCGAGATCACGTCGTTGCACTCCAGCCTGGGCAACAAGAGTGAAACTCTGTCTCAAAAAAAAATAAAATGAAATAAAAATAATAAAACCACAATTTTGTTTTAAAAAGGTGGATTCTGTGAAAGGAAGGTTCTCAGAGGATCCTTGTCTTTAGCTGAGGACCTTTATGAGTTTGAAATCTGTAAAGCCAAGCCTGGAGTGAGTTGGGAGGAGAGTTAGAGAAAATTTAATAAGTTTGCTTAAGATAGGCGAGAATCTGGAATTCGTGGGGTAGTCCAGGAATGACAGGCTGAGGAGGAGAAATGAGAAACAACAAAGGGAAAGAGGAGAAAGCAAAATATGGAGAGGTGAAGGTCCTAGGTGAAGTAATATGGCCGTGATGCAGTGGCTAAAATGACTCAAGAAAGATGTACACTATTTCAGTTGGAACGCTAGGTTCTTTGCAAAATCTCTATTCCAGTGTTAAGGTATTCACTCGTTTTTAATTTTCAGGGTCTTTTCTTTACAATTGTAATTAGCTTCACCATCATAGTAATTATAATTATTTAAATCTAAGTATAAATTAGATTTCAGTATTCAGCACTGTTCTATATTACATGACTTTTATTTTCTTCAATTCTGCATGTTAATTTGGCTTAGCTGGAGTATTTCCTCAAATGATTATTATCTTTTCAGAAAAGCTAAATTAGGGTACTTTCTAAATCCATACTTGTTTTCAAGTTGTTTTATTTTGACCTCGCACAAAGGATAATCTGGGTCACAATTCTGGTCACAATTCTTTTTCCTCAGAACTTTTAGCTTTTAGCATTTACTACTGCTAAGAAGTTCCAGTATCATTCTGGGTTTCTTCCAATATAGATAACTTTTATTTCATACTTGAGTGTTTATAGGGTTTTATTTTAAGCCTTTTAATAAAGAAATTTTACTAGCATAAGTCCAGCTGTTCGTCTTTTTTCCCATAACTCTTTTAATCCTGAATCTTTTCAATCTTGAGCCTTCAAGCAAATGTTCACGTGTTCTCTCTTTTACTGTTACTTCCCCTCCATCACTTCTTTTCTCTCACTTTGCTGCATCAGAAATCAAGCCATAACATAAGGAATTTGGACTGGGCGTGGTGGCTCACGCCTGTAATCCCAGCACTTTGGGAGGCCAAGGCAGGTGGAACACGAGGTCAGGAGATCAAGACCATCATGGCCAACATGGTGAAACCCTGTCTCTACCAAAAATACAAAAATTAGCTGGGTGTGGTGGCACATGCCTGTAGTCCCAGCTACTTGGGAGGCTGAGGCAGGAGAATCGCTTGAACCCAGGAGGCAGAGGCTGCAGTGAGCTGAGATCATGCCACTGCCCTCCAGCCTGGATGACAGAGTGAGACTCTATCTCAAAAAAAAGAGTTTGTAGTGGATACTGGGTCCAAATCAACTGTATCTACCAAAATGGCCCTTGTCATCAGAAACTGGGTAGTGCCTAAGTGGGGACTCTACTATCAGGAGTTCTTGATGTCCAGAAGTTGCACTGCATTCTCCTAGACGTGGAAAGAACACCTGTCCTCCACTTTGGTATTAACATTTTCCCATAAGATTACCAAACCAGTACTGTTGGTGTTCAAATGCCTTAAGGTATTTTTAATGAAACAGTTTCATTAAAACAGATTTTACTGATAGCCTATTCTCCTAACTCAAAATATAGACATGAATCCTCCAGGGTTTGGATATGGAACATATACAAATCTTAGTGACAAACACCATGTTGTGCTCTGACAGTTTTCCCCCAGGCGGTGAAAGTTTTGTCATTGGGTCAAGCTGGTGTACATAACTCTTAGTTGTTCTAGGGTAAATTCTCAGTGTTCTGTGGAACTGACTTCTGACAGAATGGTAGAACATATTTCCAAAAATGGCACACTATCTCCCATTCCATGTGCTTTTTTGCAGTACAAATCTATTGCCCCTCCTTTGAATCTGATTTGGTCCTGTGACTAATTTGACCAATAGGATGTGGAGAAAATGATCTTCTGGGACTTCCAAGACCAGGCATTAAAAAAGTCTAGCAGCTTCTACTTTGCCATCTGCAGGAAACTTGTTGAAATTGTAATGAAGACTTTTTTCAGGACTTTGGCAATAGGGGTATTGCAATAGGGGAAAGGGATTAGCAGCTAGAGATTTATAGCCAAAGGGGTAAGTGGATGGAAAATTGCTAAGGGAAGACCTCAAGGATAGGGAGATCCTTGCTAAACTGACTTAACAGGGTTCTTGCTGTAAGCAGGCCAAAGGCTTTTACATCAAAGGTGGGGGATGAGGAATCTGATTAGATTTCAAGGGTAGGGAAGTTCTCACTAAACTTAGCAGGATTCTTGCTAAAACTACATTGGGCTAGACAGGTCAAAGAGAAGACTGGGGCCAAGGTCAAGACCTAGTTGAGAAGAGGATTCAGAGGAGCCTGTTTAAAGTTTGGTCAAGGAGAGAGTCTTTATCAAAGCCCAACCTAACCATATGGAGATGCCACGCCACATGGAGATAGAGATGTCCAACCAGACTTCAGCTGTTCCAGCCATCCCAACTGAGGCAGACATAAGCATAAAGTCATTGTGGACTTTCTAGCCCCAGCAGATGCCACATAAAACAGAGACAAGCTGGTCCTGTTTATCTACCCTACCCAAACTGCACTTTCATGAGCAAATAAATTATTGTTGTTGTTTTAAAACAAAGTTTTAGAGTGCTTTGTTACACAGCAACAGACAAGTGAGACAGGCAGCCATCCCCATTAGTAACCAAATATGCCCAAGCATGCCCTGAATTTCCCGATGGATTCAACTCAAGCTCAGGCCGGGGTGATCCTGCTATGGCTGAATGCATATGAGTCTCATCCTTAGACTTGAGAGCAACTTGAACTAGATTCTTCATGTTAGGCTTTTGAAAGCTTGATTATAATGTGTCTTAATGTGGGTTTTTTTGAGTTAATCTTACCTGGAGTTCATTGAGCTTCCTGGATGTTTATATTAATGTCTTTCATCAAATTCGAGAATTTTTCAGCCATTATTTCTTCAAATATTCTTTCTGTCCTTTCTGTCTCTCTTCTCCTTTTAAAACTCCCACGATTTGTATATTGGTCCACTTGATGGTGTTCCAACAGGTCCCGTAGAATTTGTTTGCTTTTACTATTTTTTTTTTCTTTTGGTTCCTTAGACTTAGTAATTTCTATTATCTTCAAGTTTGCTCATTCTTCTGTCTGTTCAAAACTGCCTCTGAATCCTTCTAGTAATTTTTTCATTTCAGTTACTGTATTTTTTCTCTTTCAGAATTTCTTTTTGTCTTCTTTTTGATTTTCTGTCTCTTTATTGTTATTTCCATTTTGTAAATACACGGTTTCGTCAACTTTCTCCACATTCTCCTTTACTTCTTTGAGCATCCTTAAGGTAGTTGTTTTAAACTCTTTGTCTAGTAGATCTACCATCAGATATTTTTCAGAAATAGTTCCTGTTGATATCTTTTATTTACTTTTTCTCTTTCCCCCCTACTCTGAGATTTACCAATATTTTTTCCCTTTGAATGAGCCTAATTTTCCTGTTTCTTTGTATGCCTTGTGATTTTTTGTTGAAAACTGGACGTCTGAATCCAATGGCACTTGTTTTCAAATGTTATTTTTTATAAAACCATCTTCCTTTTCTTCATATACATGTGCCACTAAATCCAACATATTAACCTTGGTTGAGGCTGCTGGCTGGAGATGGGGTTCACAAAGATAGAGATCAAGGTAAGCAGGAGATGTGGTAACTCTGGAAATCAAACCCCTTCCCTAGGTTTTTTGTTTGTTTAATTGTAGGCTCTCTCTGTGCCAAGGTTCAACATGAAGTGTACACTTGAGGTCTTCTCAGGTTTTTCTGATCCTAGTCTTTTCCTTGGCGTGCATAGTTACTTTCTAATTTTCCTTATATATGCCATTGTTTTTGGATGTTCTAGTCTTTAATGCCTGCCTCCCAAAAGAAAAAAAAAAGAGAGAGAGAGAGAAAAGTTAAGGAGGAGAGACACCAGTCCTTTAAATCCCCTGGAAGTCACTTCAGCTGGAGGGAAGGGGCTTAAACCAATGAGGCGAGGTGCAAAATCCGTGACACTCTGCCTCTTTGTCTGCACTTCTATGATCAGAAGCAGCAATCAATGACCAGTGTACAGATGCCCAGTACTTGGAAGACAGGGTGCTTTTTGCCCACTCTGGGTCCCATAGGCTGCTCCTGGAATGCGTATACAGCTGACTATCACAGGGCTGGGGATGGGCATGGGTAACTGCTACTGTATTAAGAACTGACACTGACCAAAAATAACTCTAATTTACTTTTAAATTCTTTCCCTGGAAGTTGCAAGCCTTCAATAGACTCCATAGTTTCTAAATAATTACATGTCACAGATTCTGCTAATGTAATCATTGTCGTGGTGGGAAGATGGATTCCTGGTTCTTTCTACTCCACAATCTTCTCAGAATACTCTCTCAATTCCTACTCAACTATCTTTGGAAAATTTCTCTTGTTTACCTCGATCTTCTCTTTGTACCTTTGTGAACCCCACCTCCAGCCAGCAGCCTCAATCAAGGTTGATAAGTTGAATTTAGTGGCATGTTTGTATGAAGAAAAGGAAGACAGTTTGATAAAAAGAAGATTTGAAAACAAGTGCCATAATTCTATAAAGCCCTTTCATCATCTCCACAATTTTTCCATGTACATCTTCATCCTCCTTTAATTTAACCTGCCTTTCCACAAGCATAAACATTTAAAAACTTTATATTTGGCTCAAAATTTCATTGTCAGTGTGGTAACAATATTGCATTCTTTCTCTCTTCCTCACCCCTCCTCTCTACTTGTACATATCTCAGCAATAGTGTGGAGTTTAATAGGAGTGTGGATTTGGCATTGAATGACACTAAAAATATTAGCTCTGTCATTAATTATCTTAGTATATATGAACAAGGAAATGTTACTAGCAATTATAATATTGACCTTTTTGTCTCCAATTACTTAGATGGCTCTACAAAAACAATTCCATGGTAAGTAGGCTACTTGCATGTATTAAGCCTCAGACTACCTCATTCATTTTTTCACTTTTTAATATGTGTATGCGTATCCTAAAGCAAGAAAACTATGTATTTTAAAATTTGGATTCATTTTATCTCTAAATATACTCCTCAATTTTAGGTTATTGCATGACACTGTTTTTGCAGGAATCATATATGCTTTAGAAATAAGTAAACGTTACTTACTTACATCAGGAGCAAGCTTAATTTTGTGCTTAAAAAAAAAAAAAAAAAAAAACTACAAGGAAGATTGAGAGACATAAATGAGAACATGAAGGAAAGTCAGGGGCTTCCAGTCAGACTAGCTGAGCATCTATATGCTCAGCCATTATTAGCATGAATGGGCTAATTATTTAACCTCACTGAGACTCAAACTTTCATGAAGATTTTTGTTGGTTGAGTTTGGTTTTTCAGTTTGTCTGCTTTTTTATCTGTAAAAGAGAAAATCTATCTCACTTTGCCTGGCTTTTTGAAGCATGTCTTGTAGGTGTGGAATAAACATCCATTATTAAAATAGGAACGAAGGTGGGTTTAGTTGAATGGAGATGCTGAAATACTATTTTGCAATCAATCTAAGTTACGCAAAAATATATAGGCATACCTCAGAGATGTTACAGGTTTGGTTCCAGACCACCACAATAAAGCAAATATCATAATAAATCAAGTCATACAATTTTTTGATTTCTCAGTGCATATAAAAGTTATGTTTACATTATACTGTAGTCTGTCAAGTGTGAAATAGCATTATATCTAGAAAAATAATGTACATACCTTATTTAAAATACTTTATTGCTGAAAATGCTAACAACCATCTGGGCCTTTGGAAAATCATAATCTTTTTGCTGGTGGAAGGTCTTGCCTCGGTGTTGATGTCTGCTGACTGATCAGGATGATGGTTGCTGAAGGTTGGAGTGGTTGTGGCAATTTCTTAAAATGAGACAACAGTGAATTTTGCCACATCAACTGACTCTTTCTTTCACGATAGATTTCTCTGTAGCATGTGATGCTGTTTGGTAGTATTTTACCCACAGTAGAACTTCTTTAAAAATTGGAGTCAGTCCTCTCACACCCTGCCACTGCTGTATCAACTATGTTTATGCTATTCTAAACCTTCTGATGTCATTTCAACAATGATCACAACATATTCACCAGTTGTTTTCATCTCAAGAAACCACTTTCTTTGCCCATTCATAAGAGGCAACTCCTCATCATTCAAGTTTTATCATAATTGTAGCAATTCAGTCCCATCTTCAGTTTCTACTTCTAATTCTAGTTTTCTTGCTATTTCCACCACATCTGCAGTTACTGCCTCCACTAATGTCTTAAAGTCCTCAAAATCATCCCAGAGGGTTGAAATCAACCTCTTCCAAATGCCTGTTCATGTTGATATTTTAACCTCCAATGAATCACAAATGCTCTTAATACCATCTAGAATAGTGAATCATTTTCAGAAGGTTTTCAATTTATCTTGCCCTTATCTATCAGAGGAATCACTATTTGACAGCTATAGTCTTACAAAATGTATTTCTTAATAAGAGATGAAAATAAAAATTACTATTTGATCTACAAACTGCAGAATGGATGATGTGTTATCAGGCATGAAAACATTAATCTCCTTCTAGATCTCCATCAGAGCCTTAAGATGTCTAGAGGTCTAGGTGCATTGTCAATGAGCAGTAATATTTTGAAAGGACTCTTTTTTTTTTTTTTTTTTTTTTCTGAGCAACTGATTTAAACAGTGGCCTTAAAAATATTCAGTAAAGGTTGGGGGCGGTGGTTCATGCCTGTAATCCCAGTACTTTGGGAAGCTGAGGGAAGAGGATTTCTTGACCCCGTGAGTTCAAGACCAGCCCAGGCAACATAGCAAGATCTTGTTTCCACTAAAAATAAAAATAAATCAACCAGGCATGGTGGTGCGAGCCCATAGTCCCAGCTACTCAGGAGGCTTGTGTGGGAGGACTGCTTGAGTGTGGGAGGTCAAGGCTGCAATGAGATGTGATAGGGCCACTGCATGCCAGCCTGGGTAACAGAGCGAGACCTTGTCTCAAAAATAATTCAGTAAAGCATGCTGTAAACAGATGTACTGTCATCCAGGCTTTGTTGTTCCATTTAAAGAACACAGGCAGAGTTGATTTAGCATCATTCTTAGGGGCTGTAGGATTTTCGGTATAGTAAATATCCATTAGCTTCAACTTAAAGTCACCAACTGCATTACTCCCTAACAAGACAATCAGCCTGTCCTCAGCAGCTCTGAAGCCAGGCACTGACTTCTATTAAAGAGACAAGGATTTTGAGTGCTACTTCCTAGAAGGTATCTTTTCCCAACAGAAGGCTGTTTTGTCTACATTGAAAAATCTGTTCAGTGTAGCCACTAAATGGGGCAGCTTTGAAGCCAGACATTGACTTCTTCTCTCAGAGAGACAAGGATTTTGGGTGCTACGTCCTAGACGGCATCTTTTTCCCATAGAAGGCTGTTTTGTCTACATTGAAAAACCTGTTGTTTAGTGTAGCCACTAAATAATATTAGGTAATCATTGATCATCATCAATGATATTAGCTACATTTTCTGGATAACTTGCTGCAGCTTCTCTATCAGCACTTGCTGCTTCACATTGCACTTTCATGTTATATGTTATGGAGATGGATACTTTCTTAAATCTCCTGAACCACCCTCTACTAGCTTCCCACTTCTGAAGCTTACTAACCTTTCTCAGCCTTCATAGAATTGAAGGGAGTTAGGGCCTTGCTCGGATTAGGCTTCGGGTTAAAGGAATGTTGTGGCTGGTTGGATCTTCTGTCCAAACACCTAAAACTTTCTCCATATCAGCAATAAAGTTTTGCTTTCTGATCATTTGTGTGTTTATTGAAGTAATTTCCTTTTAATTCCTTCAAGAATTTTGTCTTTGTATTTACAACTTGGCTGTTAGGTGCCAAGAGGCCTAGCTTTCAGCCCATCTTGGCTTACACATGCCTTCCTCACTAAGCTTAATCGTTTCCATCTTTTGACTGAAAGTGAGACATGTGACTCTTCCTTTCACTTTAACACTTAGAGGCCATTGTAGGGTTATTAATTGGCCTAATTTCAACATTGTTGTGTCTCAGGGAATAGGGACTGCAGGAAAGAGAGAGAGATGGGAAATGGCCAGTTGGTCAAACAGTTAAAACAAAGACAACGTTTATCCATTAAGTTCCCCCATCTTAGCTGGGCATGGTTCATGGTGCCCCAAAACTTATTATTATTATTTTTTGAGACAGAGTCCTGCACTGTCGCCAGGCTGGAGTGCAGTGGCGCGATCTTGGCTTACTGCAACCTCCACCTCCAGGGTTCAAGCGATTCCCCTGCCTCCCAGGTAGCTGGGACTACAGGCCTGCGCCACCATGCCCGGCTTATTTTTTGTATATTAGTAGAGATGGGGTTTCACCATGTTAGCCAAGAAGGTGTCTATCTCCCGACCTCATGATCACCTGCCTTAGCCTCCCAAAGTGCTGGGATTACAGGCGTGAGCCACCGCGCCCGGCCTTAAAACTATTACAATAGTAACAGCAAACATCACTGATTACCGATCACCGTAACAGAAATAATGAAAAGGTTTGAAATATTGCAAGAATTACCATATGTGACACAAAGTGTATGCTGCTGGAAAAACCGGCACCAAGAGACTTCCTCTGGCGGATTTGCCAAAAACCTTCCATTTGTAAAAAGGCTGTATCTACTCGTGGCAGCAAAGCGAAGTGCAATAATGAAGTATGCCTGTAGTGATGGCACACAGTATCCTTCAGAAGTTTTAAAAGGTGAATAGTTTTGTTTTGTTTTCCCGAGACGGAGTCTTGCTCTGTTACCCAGGCTGGAGTGCAGTGGTGTGATCTCAGCTCACTGCAACCTCCAACTCCCGGGTTCAAGTGATTCTCCCGACTCAGCCTCCCTAGTAGTTGGGATTACAGGTGTGCCACCACACTCCGCTAGTTTTTGCATTTTTAGTAGAGACGGGGTTTCACCACGTTGGCCAGGCTGCTCTCGAACTCCTGACCTTACGATCCGCCTGCCTCAGTCTCCCAAAGTGCTGGGATTACAGGCGTGAGCCACCGCACCCGGCCTAACACACAGCTCACTGAAGTTTCTAACACACAGCACACTGAAACACAACGTCTATAACTTTGCTAGTTCTACCACTATAAAAATCCATTTTGCCAAATTGAAAGCAAGCTCTAGGGCCCACGAACGGATAAAAATTAAACATAAGGAATATTTCCTTGCCTGCTCTAACATCCTGAACCAAACAGATTCCCCTCGTTGCACAGTCTTCGCCCCTTAACAGAGGGTAGCTAGTATCACCCATACTTGCTGAAAAACTGGAAAGGAGGGAAGGTCGAAGTTAAACCCATTTCAGCGGCCGTGCATGCGCCCTACCTGGTCTCCCCAGCGAGATTTGGGAAAGCAATGAGAAGCTTTCATGATCCTCTCGCGAGAGGGAAGTCTTCGCGCCACGTCAGAGACTAGAGATCTTGGCGCCGAGCGACAGGTGCCGGAACAAACAGGCGGTGAGAAATCGCGGACGCGGAACCATTTGGTGGGCAGGACTTCCGGCGGAAAAGCGGGCTGTCTCGGAAACGCCGAGCTGAGTTCCTCCCGGGTTTTCAAGTTCGGCTCCTGGGCTGTTGTTTAGACTCTTGTGAAGATGGCTTGCGCTGCAGCGCGGTCCCCGGCGGACCAGGACAGGTGGGTTCTGGGTAGGTGGGTCCTCAGAAAGGAAGGGGCTTGCTGTGGTGCCGCGAGTGTTACACCGCCCTTCTCCGCTCCGCAGCCTCTGGAATGGCCTAGCTGATCCAGCTCGCCCTGGACGGGCTCCGCGGGTCTCCTTGGCGGCTGATTTTTGTGAGAATCCTGCAGCAGCCACCAGGCTCTTCGCAGGGCTCCTGAAATTCCTACCGTAGGTAGCCTAGTGTTTACCTGTACGCGAGACAAGGATTTTGGGTGCTACGTGGACATAATATTAAGTAACATAATCTCAGTGTGAGAAATGTGTTCTTTTTAATTATTGTTGCGTTCGGAAAGGCTCATTTGTGAAATTTTGAAGTTTTTAATACCTCGGACACTTTTTATATAAGAGGGCGGACCCATTCTCAGGAACTTTTAACAGGCTGCTGTGTCTAATGTAACATTTACCCAGGTTGTTTTGTTTCTATTCGTGTGGTTTTTTTCCTTCCAAGGTAGTGGATAAAGTTTATCTTTAATTAAGTTAAGTAAAAGGGAGGTAATTTAAAGAAAAAACATTAAGCAAATAATAGCATAGGTGTACCAGCAATGATGATGACCTTGCCTACCACGGACCGAAAGAATGTATTTTTGAAAATACTTGTTATCCGTTGAGTGTAGTTGTCCAGGTTCTTGACGTTTTGAATAAGAAATTGAACAAAACACACAAAGCAAGGCAGCGAAAGCAGATTTATTTTAAACAAAAGTACACCACAGGGTGGAAGCAGGCTCCAGCAAGCCGCCCAAGAGCTGTTGGTTACGGAATTTTCTGGGATTTAAATACTCTGTAGAGGTTTCCTATTGACCAGTGCCAGTCTGATTGGTTGAGGGAGGGGGATCACTCAGAATGAGGAGTAGGCCTGCAGCCAGTCTGATTGGTTGCTGGAGGGGACCTTTCCAAGGTTGATTTTTCAGCAGCCACGCAGAAAAAGAAGGGTTTGAAAAGGGAGTAGCCATCTGATATCTACTCAGCATGAATTGGCCTTCGGTTTCCTGCCACCCGACCCTCTTCTCCTGCGTCTTACTGCTCTAGTGATACCACTTATGCTATTGTCTATGGCAGGTTTATTTGTATCTATCCTGCTTATTTAAATAATAAGAAGACCATCGCAGAGGGAAGGCGAATCCCCATAAGTAAGGTAAGCAGATGGCTGGCTCCTTGGTCCTCGAGGGAATGGGGGGTGTCATCCTGGTCGGGCCACGTCATCTTGTTAGAGCCACAGGGGGTTCTCTTCACTGCATTTATTTCGGGCTTGGGGAGAAGGACAGCCAAGAATTGGGGTGCGTTCCTTAGTGTTGGTGAAACCAGAAAGGCATTAATTCATAGCTGAAGGGATTTTTTTTTTTAATGGCTCTTAATGAGCCTGTGTTTGTAAAGAAGTGGGGGCAGAGTCTGTAGATTTTACATGTTTTTTTAAAACGAAGTTATGACATTGTTCCCCTTGATACAGGAAATCACAATTATGACATTGTACGATATATTAATAATATTCAGAATGTAGTTGAGATTTTTTTAAGTATGTGAAGACTTGCAAAAAGTTCAGCCCTGTTGAGTTTTATTAAAATGTAATTTGTATTTTGTAATATGACAGATTTAAGGCACCTAGGTTTGATGCAGTGAATTCTCACGTGATGAGTACATCTGGGTGGTAACAAGCACTCAAAAAAGAAAACATTATAAGCATCCGGGAAGATTGCGTTATGTTCCCTCCCAGTCACTGTCGCCTCCGCATATGCTCAAAAATACCAGGATGACCACTGTCATGACTTTGACACCATAGGTTACTTTTGCTTATTTTTCACTTTTCTGTAAACGGAATTTCACAGTATGTACTTTTGTATCTTTTTTTTTCACTGAACTTTAAGCTTACGAGATTTATCTACATATTAGAATGTAGTTGAATTTTCATTGCTCTGTAACAGAGTTTGTCAATAGCAGCACCATTGCCAGTTTGAGCTAGATAATTGTTGTTGGGGGTTGTTATGTGCATTTTAAGATGTTCAGCAGTATCCCTGGCCTCTACCCACTATCCTTCTCCAAACCCCATTCCCTAATTGTGACTATCAAAAATGTCTCCAAGCATTGCTAGATGTCTTTTGCGTGTGTGTAGGGGTAGGGAGCCTGAGGACAGAATTTCCCTACTCAAAACTACTGCCCTGTCTCCTCTATAGTATTGCATTGTGTGAATACACCAGAGTCTTTTCTGCCTTCTTTTTTGTTTTTTTAAGAGACAGGGTCTGGCTCTGTCACCCAGGCTGAAGTGCGGCGGTATAGTCTCAGCGCACTGCAGGCTCCACCTCCCGGACTCAAGCCATCCTCCAACCTCAGCCTTCCGAGTAGCTGGGACTACAGGCACATGCCACCACGTCCGGCTATTTTTGTATTTTTTTGCAGCAATGGGATTTCTCCATGTTGCCCAGGCTGGTCTCAAACTCCTGAACTGAAGTGATCTGCCTACCTTGGCCTCCCAAAGTGCTGGGATTACAGTTGTGAGCCACCACACCTGGCCCTTTCTACTCTGGATGGAAAATTGGATTATTTCTATTAATAGTTTGAGGCTATTATAAATAGTTGTCTTTTAGTGAACATATTTTGTAGAACGCATCTGGGAATGGAATTGCAGGGCCATAAACAATGCAGCTTTAGTAGATACTAGCAGTTTTCTAAAGTGTTTGTATGTGTAATTGTTTAAGCAGTCAGTAATCATTGAGCGCCTACTATGTTCAGAGTACCATGCTAGGTGCTGGGGAATACACTGGTTAACAAAACAAAGCCCGTGCCCTCAGAAGTTTATGTTCTGTTGGAGGGGAGATGGGCACACATGTATGCATTAGTGTTATTCCTAGGAATTTTTAAAATTACAGTGGAAGCATCTGTACTTAATGAAAAAGGAAACCTAGGGTTTTGGTACTTGTTTGATTATAGTATTTGAAATTATTTACCCAACATTATGGCAGTGTCCACTTAAAGCAAATATATTTAGTGTTTATGTTTTTAACTGTTCAGGCTGTTGAAAATCCTACAGCTACAGAGATTCAAGATGTATGTTCAGCAGTTGGACTTAACGTATTTCTTGAGGTATGACGTGGTTCTTCACTATTTTCCATACTCATACTCATCTAATTGATGTAATAACTTTCTTAAGCCCTGTTTTTCTTTTGTTTCGTTTATGTTAGAAAAATAAAATGTACTCTAGAGAATGGAATCGTGATGTCCAATACAGAGGCAGAGTCCGGGTCCAGCTCAAACAGGAAGATGGCAGCCTCTGCCTTGTGCAGTTCCCATCACGTAAGCTTTTTAAATGAATCAGTGGGGCTCAGGGATAGGTTTCTCCTATGCAACACAGAAAAGGTTCTAAAACTGAAAGGTGAAAGTCACAGTTTACATTCTGAAGATTAATTTAAAGACAGGACTACTGCTCATGGAGAGAAGCAGTAGTTCTAATTTCTTTGAGGTGAACGACCTCTTTGAAAATGTAATGAGACCCACTAAACATTTTTCCAAAAAATTGTTGTGTGAACATTTTAGAAACCTCTGGAAGTCTGTCATTGCTCCCAGGTTAAGAATATAAAATTATTAAGTTGTTGAACATTAATTGCCATTTCAGATCCTAGAGGTCCTTGAGGTCTGTTAATATCTAATTATTCTATCATTAATAAATCTAAAAAGCAATATTGACTGAAAAAAGCAAGAGATATGCATAATATGGTACCACTTAGGTAAATTTAAATACAAAATATTACTATTGATAGATGCATATGTAATGTTGCTTATTGGTATTTTTTTGAAATGCTCTATAAGGAAACACTCACTCTTAAGACAGTAGTCACCTAATGGTGAGCAGGATAGAGAGTAGAAACCCAGGGATTGATGGTCATAGAAGACTGTTGCGTCATCTCTAGTGTTTTATTTCATGAAAAACAGTAACCAGACTGACATCAATATAACAGAATGTTAGTTCTGAGTATTAGGAAGATAAGTTTTTGTTTACATGTTGTTTATTTTTCTGAATTTTCATCTCTGAGAATTTTAATTTTTTAAAACAGAGCTATTAATTTTTTCTTTCATTTTAATAATCCCCTCAGTTTAGTTGAACTCTCCCATTAAATTTACTTAAAAACAGTGAAACTGTCAGACAAACTGACAACTTGTTTGATTTTTTTGGTTTTTTTTTGTTTGTTTTTGAGACAGAGTCTCGCTCTGGCTGGAGTGCAGTGGTATGATCTTGGCTTACTGCAACCCCCGACTCCCTGGTTCAAGTGATTCTCCTGCCTCAGCCTCCCGAGTAGCTGGGACTACAGGCATGTGCCACCACACCCAGCTAACTTTTGTATTTTGGGTAGAGATGGGGTTTCACCATGTTGGCCAGGATGATCTCGATATCTTGACCTCGTGATCTGCCCACCTTGGCCTCCCGGAGTGCTGGGATTACAGGCATGAGCCACTGCACCTGGCCTGATTTTTTTAAAATAGAGAGACAAGGGTCTCACTATGTTGCCCAGTCTAATTTCAAACTCCTGGCCTCAAGCAATCTTCCCATCTTGAGGAGATCCCAAAATGCTGAGATTACAGGCATTAGCCACCATGCCCAGCCAGCATGTTTGAACTTTTATTTTTAAAGACAAGGGCTCACTCTGTCATCCAGGTTGAGTGCAGTGGCACGATTATGGCACACTGCAGTCTTTTTCTTTTTTTTTTTGAGACAGAGTTTCGCTCTTGTTGCCCAGGCTACAGTGCAATGGTGTGATCTTGGCTCACCGCAACCTCTGCCTCCCAGGTTCAAGTGATTCTTCAGCCTCAGCCTCCCGAGTAGCTGGGATTATAGGCATGAGCCACCATACCCAGCTAATTTTTTATTTTTAGTAGAGATGGAGTTTCTCTATCTTGGTCAAGCTGGTCTCGAACTCCTGACCTCAGGTGATCTGCCCACCTCGGCCTCCCAAAGTGTTGGCGTGAGCCACCACACTCAGCTAACACACTGCAGTCTTGACCTCTTGGGCTCAAGCAACCCTCGCACCTCAGCCTCCCAGGTAGCTGAGAATACAGACGCATGATTTTTTATTTTTTCTAGAGATGGGGTTTTGCTATGTTTCCTAAGCCAGTCTCAAACTCGTGGACACAAGTGATCCTCCTGCCTCAGCCTCCCAAAGAGCCGAGATGACAGACATGGTACACTGGGCTCAGCCTAAAATAGATTTTTTTTATATACTAAAACTCATCAGGATTGGTAGGTATTGCTAGATGCTTCAGGTTGTGACTAAGGAGTGATAGTATATTCTAATACGTTTTTTCTCCTCCTTAACATTTTCCTATATTATATCTCAAAAAAACAAAAACAAACAAAATCTTGTAATTAACTAGTAGATAAAATAGGGGTAGAAATTGTGATGAGAACATGTCACTTCCTATTTCCAGTAAGACCCAAGTAAAATAGTAAAAAGAAAGCAGAGCTGAGGAGCTTAGTCTGTTTTGGGTGAAGGCAGCTGGTTGTCGGTATGCAGAGCAGGAATGCATGTAAGTGTAGATCATCTGATCTTACCCGTCGGATCTCTTGTGACTTGATGATACTGTTTTTTTGTTGTAAGTCTGAGAAAACCCTGTGTTTCAGTGTCTTAAGAGACAATGATATTTTGACTCTGTTTCCTACCTGAGGTGTATTTGGATACTCCTTAGATCTTCAAGCTAATTACTAGGACCAAGACCAAAATTTTTTTTTCATACTTATGTTTGCCTTTTGATTTGATTCATTTAAATATTTTCAGCATTATTCTCACTCTCAGTACATTTCCCCCAGCTTGAGCTAGTCAGTGTCTTCAGTCATTTGATTTTTCATTTTTTTAAAAAACATATTTTCCATTTTCTTGATGTGATAGTTTCTTACACTTTGTGATATTCAAGTTGATGACTTTTTATGTCTTATTTCTCAGATTATACATTAAGCCTAACTTCTGGTTCCTAGGTAAGTCAGTAATGTTGTATGCAGCAGAAATGATACCTAAACTAAAAACAAGGACACAAAAAGCAGGAGGTGCTGACCAAAGTCTTCAACAAGGAGAGGGAAGTAAAAAAGGGAAAGGAAAGAAAAAGAAGTAACCTAGTATCAGCATCAAGTATGTGGTACTACTGTAAGAGACGTGAATGGAGACTTCTGATTTGTATCAGAGGGAAACAGAAGCTTTTTGTTTGCATCGTTTAACTGAACTGTGAACGCTTGTGCCTCTCATCTTTATCATCGGAGTTGACAGTGAAACATTTACATCAGAAGTTTGCATCTCGCTTTTATGCCCTATAAAAGAATTTTTTTGTCTTTCAATGCAGTTTTTTTGGAAGAAAGAATATTTTTAAATGGACAAAGGACTGTACAATAAGTTACTTGAAATGAGTTACTTGTTTCAGATAAATTTCAATTCGATTTAAAATAAACATTTTGTCCACCTTTTAAGTTAATGAAATAAAATTTGAAACTGACTTTTGCAGCTTTTGCTTATGAATGAATGCTAGGAGAGGAGAGGTATTAAGAATAAAATATGTAGTGAAAGTTTCCATAGTGTGAGTCTAAAACTAGAAGAAAGTGGTAGGTCCTCTTGTGGGTGGGGAACAGGGGAGTCTGTAAAAAGCCAGTCTGTAGATCATATTTTAATCTGTTACTGTAATCGAATCGTTCAATTCTTGTTTTGACATGGAAAGTCCTGGATTTTAAGCTTTAAATTTGCTTATTTTGTAGGTTTAAGAACATGATTTTCATGGGAGTTCTAAAATTAACTGTACTTCAGCACCTTGAGGTACACTTTCCTTCAAGAAACTAAATTGGATTGGTGCTTCTGAATTTATTTCAGAGCAGTTTCTGAAAGTAGTGATTTTGAGCTATCCTGATTGCTGTTCTTTCTGAGGCCTGGTTTGGCTCTTCCTTGAATTCTGCAAGCTACCTCTTATTTTCAGTAAATTCCATTTTCTTTAAGTGTGTGTTGTTTTTTTTTTTTTGTTTTGTTTTTTTTGAGATAGAGTTTCACTCTTGTTGCCCAGGCTGGAGTGCAGTGGCGCAATCTCAGCTCACGACAACCTCCGCATCCCAGGTTCAGGTTCAAGTGATTCTTCTGCCTCAGCCTCCCTAGTAGCTGGGATTACAGGCATGTGCCACCACGCCCAGCTACTTTTGTATTTTTAGTAGAGAAGGGGTTTCTCTGTGTTGGTCAGGCTGGTCTTGAACTCCTGACCTAGTTGATCTGCCTGCCTCGGCCTCCCAAAGTGCTGGGATTACAAGCATGAGCCAGCTGGCCTGTTGACTTTTTTTTTTTTTTTAATTCTTAACAATTTCTGTTTTATAGTGAACATAATAGTATAAGAGTTTACATATTTGACTTACAAATAAATCCTGGGGAGAGGGGAGTATGTGTAAAACATAATTCAGAGCAGCCTTCTTTGAGAAAGTGGGTGTGTTTGGCTGTGTAACACAACAAGGGAATGTGTTTGCTGTGTAACAATGAGGGACTTAAGCAGGAGATTTTTGTCTCATATGTTAAATCCAAGTGAGGCTGCTGTGGTTGTTGGTTTAGCTCTCAGTGATGCCTTTTTTGTATTTTTCCGCTCTACTGTTCATGACATATTTCTAACACCTTTATGATTGTTGTTCCTGCTTGTAAAAGGGCTAGTATTTACGTGAGTGCAAGGCAGGAAGTAAAGGTAGCTGTGCCAGCCACTTCTGGCAAGTAGTTCTCCCACCTCAGCCTCCCAAGTAGCTGAGACCATAGGCATGAGATTTCTCAGAATTCCTCCCAGCAGGCTTTCACTTAGTTTAGCTGTTGAGAACTGTGACACGTTCATCTCTAGCTGCAAAGGAGGCTGAGAAAGTGAACACAGCAGTCCTCCTTATCCTTGGGGGATGCATTCCAAGACTCTGAGTGGATCCCTGAAACAGCAGATAGTACTGAACCATATATATACTATGTTTTTGCCTATTCATGTATACCTGATATGGTTATCTGCGGCCCCACCCAAAATCTCATATTGAATTATAATCCCCAAATCCCTATGTGTTAAGGGTGGGACTAGGTGGAGATACTTGGATCATGGGGGCAATTTCCCCTGTGCTGTTCTTGAGATAGTGAGTCTTACAAGATCTGTTGGTTTTATAAGTGCCTGGCATTTCCCCTGCTTGCAGTCACTCCATCTTGCCGCCCTGTGAAGGTGCCTGCTTCTCCTTTGCCTTCTGCCATGTTTGTAAGTTTCCTGAGGCCTCCCCAGCAATGCGGAACTATGAGTCAATTAAACCTGTTTCCTTTAAAAATTGC